AAAATTTCATCAGATCATATACAAAGCTGACACGATCCGTATTAAGATCATGAAACTTCATATCCAACACTTTCTCGAACCATTCTCGAGTTCCAGTTATTAATACTACGATGATGAACAGAGAAGCGAGTCTCCATAACCGAGGAGCAACGGCGATTGAATCGATTATTATTGGTTTGGGACTTCAGACCACACGACATATGTAGGTCACGACCTACATATACCAACCTACCCTTGGATCCTCTAAACAAGAACGGGTCCGCGCCACCCGAGAAACAACACACCTCAAATCCGCCACATTCCAGCCACGAGGGTACACGCTACTCCGCCATCTCTCTACTCCCGGTCGCGAGTAGCCATTCTCGTAATAGAATAGCCAAGTTAAGGCTTACCGGAGTATGTGGTTAGTACTACAAAGTCTCACCATAAGCAGTTCACTGTGGTACGGACCTTAATCGACACGAGCGGAAAGAACCCGCTCACAAGACATTACCGTGTCTTGTGGCTCACACACACCGAGTCCGCCCGGTCTAGATTTATTACTCCACATTGCCATATCACATGATAACATAAGTAACCAAAGTTCCATTTAAAACTCATGGTGACAGGTAATCACCCAACTCGATCGGTCTAAGCGAGCTAAGCATAACTAGGCATATACGATTTTAAACGGGTAACAAGGTAGATATGGAACAACAAGGTTGATAATGCAACAATTAGGTTTCCACTTGACTTCTAATCACTTAATGCAGTATTGAAAAGCAAAAGCGAAATCAATTTGTAAAATACAAGGTAGGGTTATATGCATCCGGGGCTTGCCTTCGTTGACGGAAAAGTCTGGCTCCTGCGACGTTTCACAAGTCTTCGATCCGACCTCAACAGACAGATCAACCTCCTCCGTAACTTGATTAACTACCACGTGCTCACCTTCGTTTACTGCGTAGTAACATTGCCATGCTTAACATGATGTGGAATATGAAACATGATGCTCGATGATGGATACAAAAATAAATAAATTGGATACAATTTTTCTTCGCAGTACAGTTACAAACCAAATTAACCAAACCATATTCGTAACTGATGTGACCACGCTAGCACCGATCACTTTGGTGAACTCTCCGACCACTATGGTGAACTATCCGACCACTACGGTGAACTATCCGACCACTACGGTGAACTATCCGACCACTACGGTGAACTATCCGACCACTACGGTGAACTATCCGACCACTACGGTGAACTATCCGACCACTACGGTGAACTATGCGAAGCAAAGATCGTCGGTAAGGGAGAACCGGCGACTGCAGCGATCAAAATGAGTAAACAACAAGCATTTAAAGACTACGAGATCGAAAGCGAAACCGTAAGTACACTGATTACAGACAAGGCTCACCGAAAAACTCGCCACGATGACACGCCCGCAGCGGTGAAGTTGCTGACCTCGAGGAAGAAAAACGTGGACAGCGAGTTCTCGGCAATTTCAGGCGATCAAGGCTAGCTGGCTGGATTCGCAAGGAAAAGACGGAACTAGGACGGCCTTTACCGAGATGGCAACAGCGCTAGGGAGACGATGCGAGCTTGTTGGAGCGATGACAACGACGGTGGTGAAAACAAAGGAAGAAAAACGACGATGACGACGTCTTGGTACTTATAGCGCGGCGCAGAAGCTCAAGGAAGCCACGACGGAGCTATTTCCGTGCCAGCGCGACATCAAAGACGGCCACGACACGCCTGGAACACCGAAGAAGGAACGACGGCAATGTAGCTTAGGCGGTGAACACTGTTCACAAAAATTACAAAATTGCCATACGCCAAAAATTCACAATTTACTCTCAAATTTTTCATAACAACTCAAAAATCTCCAAAAACAAAAGTTGTTCAAAATTGAAAGTTCTACAACTTTGCTTCTATAACCATCTCCTAATTCTGTCTAGATTTTGAAATGGATTTTCAGGGTAGGATTTAAATGCTGAAAAGCGGGGTTTTCTCGAAAAATTCAAAATCCAAACAAACTTTGAATTTAAGTCAAACAATACAATTCAACACATACCACATGAATATAAACTTGTTTTAGTGTATGCATCTCAAAGTTTTCACCAAATGCCAAATGCTTTGCAATGCATATGATGATATGTCAGGTTTTAGTATTTTAAACACCCGAGGTGTTACACTACTACTCTTCCTCCACTGTGGCCATGTCTTCGGTGCCTGCCATGCCTGCAAGGCCCGCAATTTCATCTGCGGGATATAGCGCAGGCGCAAGGAGAAGCGGAGGAGGGCGACACCGACAACACCGGTGGCGGTTGCGGTAGGGATAAACAAGGAGAGGCCTTTCTTACGGGTTTTGCGAGTTCTTTGCGGATTGCAACAATGTCCAGTGGGCTTTGCAGCTGAACAATGTTTAGGCCACAAACAACTTGCAGCTGGGGCACGTTGTCCACGAACCATGATTTTGCGGGGCGGGCTGGTATGTAGCGTTAATGACCCGCCCCACCTGCATCTTGAGGTTCAACTTGTTCTTACCTTTCTTGAAATTGGCAGGTGTAAGCTATAAACTATTATCATTATATCTTATATGGCCCTTTGGAAGCTCACAAATGAAAATTTAAACCATTAAACTTTTGAGTTTCACTGCAAAAAATCATTGGCTATAGCCTTGTTGGCTTACTCTCTGTAATTGTAATTGAAAACACTCAAATCTTACTTCATATACTGTATTGATGAGGTTGCTTGCTCCTTAGCACTCGGATAACTGTTATGAGTGGTAACTATGGTAGTGTCCAAATTGTGCTGCCAGCTTATTGCCATTGCCATAGGATACACTTTACAGATCTGTGTTAGAATAGGAGGAGAAGAGGGTTGTATGAATCATGAGGTTATATATGCACAGCCCAAATGGGCAATATAGTACATGAGAGCACCCAAGCCTAGACTATAATATAATGATCATAACACCCTGAACTGTAGTAGTTCCTGGGCAAATAGTTTACAAGTCTATCAAACATGAATTGATTTGGTGCTGTTGATATCTATGGTTGATGAGCTGAAATGTTTAGTATTACTGTTGTTCAGTTTAATCATATAAAATTAGACACTGGGTCAGTTATGGCCTTATGGGTCTTTTGCTCCTTTTCTCTTGTTGGGTGATTAAAAATGATGATTGAAGACTCTGTTTCAGGTTTGCAGTGAAGCTTGTGTTGTTGTTTTGGTTTGTTTTGTACTCATGGCTGCACGTGCACTATAAATGATGAGGATAGTAGTATTTTCAGTTTACGTAGAAATTTCTGAAGTAACTGAAGATGGTTGGTTGAATTTTTAAATTTTAGTATGTTCGTGGGATAGTTATTTTTAGCCTATGAAGGAATTCTGTAGGAACTGAAAATGGTCGGATTTGAGCAAATTTGTACGAGGCGCACATATGTTGCAGTCTCACAGTTTGTAACATTGTGCTGGTCATTTTAATGTGTGGTGGTGATTACAATGCGACATAGTTAGCACAAAGTCCCTGGTCAGGGCGACTATGGAGGCACATAGGAATGGGCAAAGTCTTGTAAATAGGTAATAGGGTGAGTTCTCCGATTGCATATTCAGCCGCAAGCTTAAACTTGAGATGTCAATAACTGCAGGCCTTCATTAGCCACCTGGACTCTGTCCCTGCTTTCTGATAATCTTATTCAGAACAACCACAGATGAAAATAGTTTTCTCTTCTCTGACATGGTGCTATCCATGTAATCATGTTATAGCACCACCTCCACGCCACGCTCTTGGGAATATGTGGGCCAGATGTAGAAACTCTAGCTGGTTTCCTTGCTCTGGCTGATACCAGAGTATTTACCTCAAGGCGTATGACAATAATTTTTTAACCCATTTTTTAAACAATTTCTAAAAATAAGACCCCAAAATTTTATTTCCAAACTAAGCCATTTGGCCACGTCAAACTACCCAGCGCGGCCGAACTGACTTCCTGCACCAGGCCTGGCATGGCAGGGGCGCCACCGTGCCAGTCAATGCCTGACTGACTTCGTGATGTGGATCCCTGTTACCTCACCACGATCTCTGCCGCGACTGATTAGCCGATTCTAACTTCCTGGCTGAGTCCGAACCGGTTTGGTTTCCAAATCGGTTTCTGACTATATCTTTGGTGTGAGAAACATGGAGAACGTGTTTTGGACTTGTTTCCTACTAGGATAAGATCATCCCCGTCTCTATATATGAGAGGATCACGACCGATCAAGGATCCCAGCTTCTACACTCCACAAGTCGCTTGCTTGTAATCCTATACTTCATTTTATTGTCTAGGTGCTTGTTCAAGTCTGGGTGCTTCATTTTATTGTTCTCAACTTCATATTTTGATATATGGATGTTAATTCAATTAAAAAAACTATGGGGCTTATGTTGGTTAAACTTTCTTAAGTTTGACTAGATTTATAGAAAATATTAGCAACACTTAGTATTTCGAAAAAGGTTTATTGTAAAATATATTCACCAATATCTAATGATACTAGATATGTACCATAAATATCAATATTTTTTTATATATATTGGGTCAAAGTTAAACATGTTTGACTTCTCGGTAAGCGAGAATGACACTTTTTACATGATGAAGGGAGTACTATTTATTATTTACTCCATCCCAATACTACCGAATTCTGTCTCTAGAACCAGTTCTAGGATGGTTTTTTATTTAACTGTAACTAGACAAAAACGAGCTGGCTTTAAATATTGGTTTTAGACTAAGAAGTTTATGGACCTGGTTTTAGACAAAAGATGCAAAGAATTGGTAAACAGCTAATCATTTACACTAAGAAGTTAAGAGCTAGCAGTAAGGCTGTCTGTACTAGTGACAACTCATCATTCAAACAATTATTTTTCAAGCAAACAAAAGAAAAAAAAATCATACTCTTTTTTTTTTTTTTGGGGGGTGGGGGGGGGGGGGGGGGGGGGGGGGGGGCGAAAATCATACTCTCCTAGCCGGCCAATCTCGACGTACGTACGCTTATTACACGGCCCATGGGCCAAATGGACAGGCGTGGCCGTCGTGGCACTGGTCCTCTGTTCGTTCCCGCTTCAGGCTCCTCCGCTGCTGCACGCTCATTGACCGGTGGCACGCCGCTGCCAACCGGCTTGACATTGACCTGCTGCCACTGGTTTTCGTTCTTTTGATGCCCGGCTTTTCCAAGAAAAATCCTGCGACACCATGTCTGTAGATCCATAGCATCCTGTACTCCGTCAGCTCCGCCGGCTGACGCAAGAAAAAACTGGTTGCCTTGGACCTTATTAGCGTCTCTGCTCCTTGTGCAACGCTAGCACCTACACGTTCCTGGTCGTCGTCTCCGTTTATCTCCAGCGCGTAAGAACTCTCCAGCAGCTGCTGCTGTTCCTTGTGCTTGTACACATGATGAGGCAAACAGCCAATTGTCAGGTCCAGTGGTGCCCTTCTCCTTTTTCCAGCTCCTTCGTCATGTGGCTGCAACGAGCTCGGCAAGCTGCTGCACCAGTCTAGTGCTGAGCTAGAGCAGCGGAAGAAGAAGTGGATGACTTCTTCCGGGAACATGCTGTTTGCACAGGGCCCGTGCAGGTTTGCTTGTTTGCAGCATACTGGATCCGGGCGCAGATATTGGGTGTCGTTGCCGTAAGACTCTTGCTCGATCTCAGCATGACATCGAGTAGCATATGGATGGGAGGTGAACTGAACATCTGGTACCAGGGTGAGTTCGCCCATTGCAGCTTCCGTCGGAATCTTGAACTGAGATGCCATCCACTGCAGGCAGACTATAGCTGTCCCAACAATATCCGTGCTCTCTGAGAGTCGCAAGATCAACACCAGATTGAACGATCTGTCTAGCGTCGATGTCTTACAATAGTCCCTGTACTGATATATCAGCACCGTCTCCACGCCACGCCCTTCTAAGCATATTGGCTGCATGTACAGACGGCGTCGCAGCTGGCTGCTTCCTTGCAGCAAAACCTGATGCCTGAGGGTTTTCCCTTCAAGAAGAAGCCTCACAAGAGGGTTGCAAAAGGTGTGGTGCCGGAGTGAACAGCCTGACTCCACGTCCCTTACGAACTTGCCTGCATGATCCGCGAACCATTCAAATCTTCGAACATCATCCGTCTTCAAGCCAGCAAATGATGAGATGGAAAGATTGTTCTTGGCAAGAATGGTGACCCAGCGACTACGCTTCAAATTCGCCCCTTGGGCTTGGGCGACCTCTTCCTGCTGGCCTTCTTGGAGTTCCTGTAGCTGCTTGTGCTTGTTGAGCAGCTCCGTGCCCTCGAGGTAAGCACGCTTGATCATCTTCCTACGGTGGAGCAGGGAGAGCTCCATGACCGGCAGCTTGGCCGTCCTCTCGAGAGCGAACTCTAGCTGGGAAACTGCCATCTCCAGCCTCTCGGCGTTGACCCCTTGAGACACCTTCTCCTCGCGCCTGCCCAAGACGAAGGAGATGGCTTTACTCAAGCACTCCTGAACAAGAACTGAGCCCACCACTTCCGCCATGGCTATAGTGGATATATCTGGCTGCGTCTGAGGAGACAAATTAAAAAAACAGTGGGCAAGAACGAAAACTACTTGAGGATTGCTAGAGCCCCCTGCAGTGCCTATTCTCTGCCTATCTCTCCCTCACACACAGCTGCTTCTTATAGAATAATTGGTTTTATGGCCAAGCATTTAGCTTTCGCTGGTCTGCAGTCTGCAGCACGGGGCGCCAGTGTCAAAAGGCTTAATTACGTACCCAATCGATCGGTTTACTGATTCAAACTCGCTCGTCATCATCAAGACTTGACTGTCTGGTTCTGCTGTGTAGCTTAGTCAGACGGGATGATACAACCGAACCAGGACACCACTCAGATGAGTCCAGAAGGGCGCATACGCTACACTACTGATGTGTTTAGTACTATGGTTTGACGAATCATCCCGTTCTAGATGTAAGGTATGTCAAGATACATAACAAAATTTATGTAAAAAAAAATCAAAGTGACTTATAATTTGAAATGGATGGAGTAGTTTATAAGAAATAAATTTTCCGAGAAGTCAAACATTTTTAACTTAACCAGTTATATATAAAATAAAATTAATATTTATAATGCATAATTAGTATCATTAGGTAAATCACAAAATATATTTTTATAATTTTTTTGGTGTTACAAATATTTCTAATATTTTTCTATAAAACTAGTCAAACATAAGAAAAGTTTGACCAATGGTGGACCAGCGCCCATCGATCGTCAAGGAAAAATAGAGGAATAGTTTCTCTATAGCATCATAATAGGAGAGTTTGTGTGTGTCAGTATCTCACGGATCCTAGACGGATCTGTATGTCAGTGGAGAATCTTCTTGGGCCTATTTTTTTGTCTAATAAATATTTCCTGGGCTCAATTGTCAACTACTTCATTTTCTTTCAACATCAGTTCATAATTGCTTGCTTACGTCATTTCTAAATCGTGTCTACATCTGGACCATGTAAGATCGGTAAGCCCCTCGCCAGCCAGTGACGTGGCTGCAATTTCCCCGGCCTCCGCTAGTCCAGTTGATTTGCCATTTGACCTAATCAATACATCGGACTCTTAAATTGGCAGTATTTTTTTATTTATTTTAAATTATTCTCCCGTCACAGAAAGAAGCAGTTTTTGGTCATTGCGCTCTCCTCAATTGGTGCCGACAACAGAAAGAAGCCTCCATGCCACGCTCATCAGAATACGTGGGCCATATGAAGAAATATCGTAGCAGGTTTCCTTGCTTCAACCATCTTTTTAAACTCAAATCCACTTAGAATCCATGACTTTTTATAAAGTGAAAAATTCATGGCAGATATTATTTGAATAATAACTCATTTAGTTATTCATGGAGGGTTTTCCATCCCTAAGTATACCTTTCCCTTGCTTCCAAATTAGGCCTCAGGGAGATGCCTGACGATAGGGTTACAAAAGGTGTAGTGACGAAGTTGAAAGGGACTGTGACGTCTAAGAGAGGGGTGAATTAGACAACTTAAAACTCTAACTCTAAACTATGACTTCTTTTTCTATTCTTAACAAAACCTATGCAAAAGATAAATTATCTAAATGTGCACCTACGATTTTGCTAGTGTGTTGCTATCTCTGCCGCAAAAGAAGTTATGCTATCCGAACCGTCGCGGGCCTTGTTCCCTTCGGTACACGGTGACGGTCACACCACAAACGCGGTTGGTGTGATCTCGTAAGACTACAAGCCCCTCCAATGTACAACAATAGTGCGCGTAAGCACCAAGTGGTAAAAAGGTATGCAAACCTCATTAAACACTAGGCCTAAACCTAGAGCAAGTGTATAAGCGGTGGTCTAATCAACGTAAGCACTTCGCAAAGCACCTACGCTAATCATCTAACGAATCACTAAGCACTATGCAAGTGGACATCACTAAAATGATGTATCAACACCCTTGGTATGTTTCCTCAGCTCTACTCTACTCAAATAGTCGGTTGGGGGTGTATTTATAAGCCCCACTGAGAAAGTAGCCGTTCGGGACGAAACTATCTTTCTGTTACTGACCGGACACTGCTGTCATCCTGATCGGACGCGTCCGGTCGTCCCGACCGTTGAAGCTAGCGCGTTGATCGGACTCAGAGCTGAATCCGGTCATCGTCGATCGACGCGATCCGATCAAGGCTATGGCGCCGCTCGAACCTCTTCGACTCGATCGGACGCTGCAGTTCTGCGTCCGATAGATCACCCTCCACCGTCCGATCGGTGCTAAGCTATTGTTGCGACGGTGAAACGATGTCATAGTTGCGTCAAGTCACTTGAATCCTCGGCGTCCGGTCGCTGCTGCTGACGCTGCCGTTGCCGAGCATCTTGATCGGACGCGTCCGGTCGCTATAAGGGCCGCGTCCGGTCACCTCTGTGAAGCTCGTTTCTTCGCGATCTTGCGTCCGGTTTGGTTCCTATCTTCGTACTTGAACTTTGCTTGATATCTTGGGTCTTCTCTTGTGCTTCTAGGGTCTTGCTTATGGTGTTGATCGTGGGATCATCATGTCGTCTTCGTCCAAGTCACGTCTTGTACCCTATTGAACTATAAAACAATTACTTACAAATTCATTAGTCCAATTTAATTGTGTTGATCATCAAACACCAAAATCCAAAGTAAATGGGCCTAGGGTCCATTTTCTTACAAACCCCCTCCCTTTTCGTGATCGATGACAACACGACCAAAATAAGCAAATAATAAAAATTTTGGAATTTAAAAATTATTTACTTGCTAGGATGCAATGCAAAGGGCAAGGTTATATGATGCTAAAACATACCACATGTAAACATCTTTGGAAACTTATCTTGCCCTTGCAAATGTTCCCATGTGGCATTATGGATTTAAGCTTCTCCCTAACTCTATAATCCACTATCCTTTGTTTTTTCGGACTATTACGACTTATAAATTATTATGATCGAGCTTCCTTTTGGTCTATAAATTCTTCTCTTTGGAATCAAATATCAAAAAGGAAGACATTAGTAGCACAAGGGAGGGTCAAACTTTGTGATCCTTTATATGTGGAGTGGAATATGTCATAAAATTTGACTCTCACATTAAATAGACTAAGCTCCCCTAAATATATACATACATATGATGAAGAATGTAGTTTATGCATAATTGGCAAATTAATATTTAAGGGAGTTTAATCTATATAATGTATGGAGAAAGCATATAAATACCAAAGTAAAATCAACATTATGATATCAGTTTAGAAATACTATATGTGAAAATCAATTTAATTTATACCACTTATAATAGGTGATAGATATTTGAAGTACGATGCTTGACTTCGGAGACCCAGTAAAGCCGTCGGGTCCCGGCGCCTTGTCCGCCGGCATCGCCTGGATCGCGCCCACACTTCCTCGGTGGAGAACGGGGCGTCTTGATCGGCCAGATCAACCGGTTCAATGCCGAGCGCCTGAAAATTCAGCGTGCTGCCCGTGGACGTGGCTGTCCCAAACACCCCTGCGAAGTGGTCATGGAGCGCCGTTTCCATCTCGTCATGGTCCGCCACCAGGTGGCCGTGCCACGCTCTTGGGAATATGTGGGCCATATGTAGAAACTCTGTAGCTGGTTTCCTTGCTCTAGCTGATACCGGAGAAGTTTTTCCTTCAACATGGTGTCTGAGTCTGACAATAGGGTTTCCAAAGGTGTAGTGCCGGAGTGAACGCCCAGACTCCACATCAATCACAAACTTGCTGGCACAATCTGAAAACCATTCAAATCTTGCAACATCAGCCGCGTTCAAGCCAGCATATGAGATGAGAGATGTGGACAGACTCTTAGAAGGTCTGTGGTTTGCATGCGCTTCCACCCCTTGGCTGGTCTCTTCCTGACCTGCAAGTACCGCCTGCGCTTGTCGAGCCTGCAGTTCCATGGCCTCCACGTGGGAACATGTATGCACGTGTTCCTGCAGCCAAGCAGCGCGGCGTCTACCATCGGCAACTTTGCCGACCTCTCAAATACATGTTCCATGGCCTCTTGAACAAGGGCTCATTGAACACCTTCTCTGCCATGTGCACAATGATAGGATTGAAGTAAGTACAGTCTCTGTCTCTCCACATTCACAGGAGAACGGAACGCTTATTTGATGACGTGTACACAAGAGAGAAAAATAACGAGTGATTGATTGGGTTTATTTAGGGATGAAAACGGTACGGATATTTTTCGACCGTATTCGAGACCGAATCCGTTTAAAGGGGTTCAGATCTGTTCGTATCCGAGTCTGGATATTCAACATCCGATACCGTATCCGTATCCGAATACTCAAATCGCATATTTATGATGTCGATATCCAATCGTATCCTATCCGATATGGTTGATACTATCCGTATTCGAATCCGAATCCGGACAGAAATATGGAAACAAATGTAATATCAGTGATATCCGTTCGTATCCGATCCGTTTTCATCCCTAGGTTTATTAATTGGGTTTTTTTTAGGGTCGATATGGAAAGGCTCCGCACCTGGTTTCTTTAAAACGCCTTCTTCAAAGCCAAAAGTACACTTAAAACTTCAGCAATTAACTAAAAAATAGACCACCACATAAAGATGGAGACGTTCGACGTTCCATTAATTGTGGCCCACTTTAGGGTCAGTTTTGTAGACCTCCAGCTTTAGTGAAACACTTCAGCTGTGGCTTCTATGGTGGACCAACACTGTGTGGCTCTAGTTTTTCTCGTTTGAAAAATGTTTGGTAAAATAACTTCTTCCGGTCCTTAAAAAGCATCAAATGTATATAATGCCCTTTTTATTCTTTATCTTTGTTCTTTTTTCCTTTAACTTATCAGCCATGGTATAGAGTTTTTCTCTCACAACAAATCAGCGAACAATATTTTTCAGCCTGGCTTTTCAGCGAAACGAACAGAGCATCGTTTCTCCTTATCCGAGCGAGGAATGACCGAACTCGTCTTCTCCTCCACATGTGTGACACGCCTTTCTCCCTCTGCCTATCGCCTCCACACTTGGGCCGATGCTGCCTCCACATCCACATAGGCCATGCCAGTCCGTCTCCTCCCCACGCCGTCGCGGACTTGCCCTGCCTTCTCTCCACGTAGCCACGTCCTCGTCCCACCTCCTCCTGACCCCACCATGCTTCCCCACGTTGCTGTGCCATCATCTGCCTCCGCGCACCGGCCTCGCCTAGGCATGCCTACAAGCTGGGCCCACGGGAGTGAGAAGGAGCCGAGCAAAGTTACTGTTTTCAAATCCTTCTCTCTCTCTAGAGGTCTAGAGAGCATGTTTTTTTGAGCTTTGCTCATGGAGCTGCTCAACAGGAGACTTGGTATGTGGAGCTGCAGAGTTGCTCGTGGAGCTCTACCAAACACTGCCTTAAACCTACTCCACAAGTGAGCACATGAGCCGTCTAAATGATGGTTTTTTAGAGCAGAAGACCACAACAAACTCCATAGCACACCGGTACGCCACCAAAATTTCTCACCGGACATGCACAACAGAGTCCACCCCTCGACCTCTGTGCCTCCATCCGAGCAGGCCAAGTGGGAAAAGTACATTCCGTAGCCAGATTTTTCTCTTCAAATTCAAAATAAGAACATTTTACTCCATTGAACATTCAAAACCATTCAAATTATATCTCTGCCCTTCTTTTAGTTAAAAATTTGACAAATAAATAAGGTTTTTAAACCACAGAAAATATCTCAGCTTTTTAAAAGTTCTGAAAAAAGTCTGAAGATAGATTGGGTAACATCAAATCCAAATGAAATATTTGGAGCTCATAAAAATATCTCTATATGCTTAAACATAGATTTTTTTATAAAAATGGAAAATTCTGAAAAAATCTAGAAATTTCCCAAAACATTCTAATCTATAAAAATATTCATAGTGTTCGGCCATTGACTCAATCTCCCAGTTAGCCCGATAGGTTCGGGCTTGGTCAGCAAGTTAGGATGAATTCTGTCTTGTGTTTATGCAGCATTACAGTCGTGAGAGCAATAATGAGATGAAATTAGATGAGTTCCTAGAGTTGAGGCATGGGTCTTATCTATAATACTGGAGTACCTTGAAAGGTTCAACTATTTAGCCCAATACACCGAAAATACATATGAACAGATAATATATGGAGCACTTTATGAATTTGTGCAACAATGACTTAATTCAAATATTTGTTGTTGCAAAACAATCTTAAATGCTAAAATGGAGTGCACCATTACAAAGAGCTCGTCATGATTAACAAAAGATATATTATTTGTCTTATTTGCAGCTTATATGGAAAAAAACCGGCTGGATCACCACCTCCTAATGAACCAGCCGGTTCATTCGTTCTTTACTAGTCTAGTTGCATGGATGGTGTTCAAAGTGGACCAGGACGCTATAGTCTCTAGTTCAGTCTTTTGCATGTCGTCGTACCACTGGTTCGCTTTCGCTGGGATGATAAGCTATGACCTAAAGTATTGTTATTGATTTGTTGTGGAAGAAAAATATTGTTCGATTCGCTGAAAAAAAGTACGGATTATAAGACAAACGAACAGGGATTGTGCTCGCTGAGCAAGGCAAAAAAATAAAGCTAAATGCACTATGTAAAAAAGCCACATATCCGCCGTCTCACCATAGACGCGTGTTCGTTTTTATCACAATCGCGTATTGGTAACGCACGTCTGTAGTATGTGCTTATTACAGACGTGCTTTTTACGTGTCTATAATAAGCCTTATTACAGACGCGTTATGTGATGTGCCTGAACGTGTGTCTGTGATGTGTTTTTTTTTACATAGTGATGTTTGGCTATAAGTTAAGGCAGCTCCATCTCCCACGTTAGTTCGTGCAACCACGCACTAGGAAACGGGAAGCCCAACTCCACCTTATACTCCTCCGGTGCACGCTGCCGGCCGCATATCCATTAAAGGCAGCTCCATCTCCATTTCGGTCGTCGGCCATGCGCGCGCAGCACAGAGCGCTGATCGACGGTGATGACGAGTGGCGCTGCAGGGGACGATGCAGCCGCAGCCTGGTTTTGCTCGCTGGCAGCCTGACCCTGACGACGCAGCTGCTCCTCGCGTGCTTCGTCCTCGACCGAGAGAGCGCCTCGTCAACGGCCTGGCTGCAGATCGATGTCGCCAAGCTGACAGCCATGATCAATGGAACAGCAGGTACGGTCTCGTGCATGTCCATGTCATTGTCATTCCCGTGTCGTGTATGCTAGCACTGTATAGCATATCCACAAAATAAGCTCAGTCGTCACTCCCTCCAGCACTGACTACCAACGCTCCTCATGGCCGCGACGAGCTCCTCGGAGGGCTTCTCCCGGCAGGCATGGACCGGCGGTCGTGCCGGAGTCGGTACGAGTCGTGGCGGTACTACAAGCACTTCCCGTACGTGGCGTCGCCGCACCTCCAGCGCAAGCTACGCGCCTACGAGGCTCGGCACCGGCAGTGCGCCCCCGGCACGCCGCTCTACGTCAAGTCCGTCGAGCAGCTCCGGTCCGGCCGCAGCGCCGAGGGCATGGAGTGCAACTACGTCGTGTGGATCCCATTCGACGGCCTCGGCAACCGCATTCTGTCCATGGTGAGCGGCTTCCTGTACGCGCTGCTGACGGACCGCATCCTCCTCGCTGTCTTGCCCCGGACTCGGCCTACCTCTTCTGCGAGCCGTTCCCGGACACAACGTGGCGGCTCCCGGTGGCGGACTTCCCCGTCGCAAACTTGGTCCCGCCTCGTGGACAGGACATCGAGGAGTACATGCGGCTCCCCGTCACCAACCTGCTCGGCGTCGGGCAGGACATTGAGAAGTCGTACACGAGGCTCCTCGACGCCAAGGTGATCGGCCCTGCTGCGAACGCGACGGCGGGCGTGCCGCCGTACGTGTACCTGAGCTTAGGGTGGCAGCTCAAGGACCTGCTCTTCTTCTGCGGGGAGCACCAGCTGGTGCTCGCCAAGGTCAACTGGCTGCTGCTGTACAGCGACCTCTACTTCGCGCCGTCTCTGTACACGGTGGCCGAGTTCCAGGACGAGCTCAGGCGGCTGTTCCCGGCCAAGGAGAGCGTGCACCACATCCTGTCCCGGTACCTCCTCCACCCGACCAACCCCGTGTGGAGCATGGTCACTAGGTACTACCGCTTGTACCTGGCTTCGGCGTCGTGGAGGATTGGCGTGCAGATCAGGATGTTCAGCTTCACCTCCATCTCGGCCGACGACATGTACAACCAGATCCTCGCGTGCTCCAGGCAGGAGCACATACTTCCGGAAACCGACGCTGACAATGACGAGGCTGTGGCCACCGGTGGCCATGGCTATGGCAGTGGCTCCAACAACTCTACGGCCATCTTCATCGCGTCGCTGTATGGCGACTACTATAAGAGGCTGAGGTCGAGGTACTCCGACCAGCACGCAGCGAAGGGCACCGGCGCGAGGGTGGGCGTGTTCCAGCGGACACACGAGGAGCGGCAAGCGACCCAGAACTTGGCGCACAACCAGAGGGCCCTCGCAGAGATCTATCTGCTCAGCTTCTCCGAGGCGCTACTCACGTCCGGGCTTTCCACATTCGGGTACGTGAGCAGCAGTCTCGCCGGCGTGCGGCCGGTGATCCTGCTCACCGCGTTCGACCACAAGGTCCCTGAGATACCATGCCGGCGTGCTGTGTCCATGGAGCCATGCAACCTCAAGCCGCCACAGGGCATGGAGTGCCGGGGCAAGCCCATGGACATAGAGGGCCTAGCACGCCACATCGGGGTCTGCGAGGATTTCAAGGATGGGGTCAAGTTTTTTTATTAGACATCGTGGCGTGATGGTGTTAATTTTAGGTTTGGTTTGGTACAGCTCTGCTTCACTATGATGGAGTTTTTTTTTTAGCATTGGCTCTACAACTTTGCATAGTTGATCTGGGAAAAGGAGCTGACGAATGCTACTCTTTTCAACTCCACCTGCTGTCCTTGGCGCGTTTGAACTGTATGGTATGGGCTTGGGTGACTGGTGGCCACGGGGGACAAATGCGGCAAAATTTGAAATGTATGATATGGCTTGGGTGATTATAAGTACGTATATGGGCGTTTGGTGCCACACAAAGTCACAAATAATATCAGCTAGATATCCAAAAAAGAAACATGCACACCAAACTGATTAAGAGACAACAACATGCCCCATTGGCAATTGTAATAGATAGACAATGGCTGGCAATGAAAGCAGCGCGAATAACGTACGTGCGGCAGCTGCAGCTTGGGTGCATGTGGTAGACTGCATGATAGGGTCATGCATTGTCTATCTGTTACCAAAATGGGGACCGGCGCTATTGCAGCAGCTATCGATCGAGCTCGTGCCAGCGTGCATGACAGCGTTGGCGGGACCGGCCGGCGCTATTGCAGCCAATATCATGGAGCTAGGAAACAACTATATTGTAGCAAATTAATGGGAACCCACCACGTTTCCATGGTACTCTTTGTTCCACGGAGATTGGAACCCATGACTTGTTGCCCCGCGTGAGACCCTGCCACCAACACATCACACCACCCCGCCGCTCTAACGAATAATCACGAATTGCATGTTTTCGTCTCTATATATAGTTTCAAATGAAAATAAAGGTTTTAGCTACAAATTCTTTACATCTTGCTGAACGCTATAACTTTGGTGTAGCGTGTCTTCATCCGAGACTTAATAGAGAAAAGAGGTGCCAAATTCTGAAGTTGCCAGATTTAACTAAACAATGGAATATAGAAAATAGGTTCTTTACAGGTTGAAGATGATTTAAGCCCCCTGTGTTTCCGATTTCTAGATCCGCCCCTAGTCCCCCCTTGCCTTCTACCTATCCTTTCCCTCACAATATAGAAAGAAATGACCTTTATATATAGCTCCTTTTTGCTAATGTGACATTAATATAGAATACATTTTACGTCAGTTGGGCTCTCTTTGACGAGGCTTTTGTTATTAGGGATTCTCCACCGGCTCAATCAAAAGCCCTGCCAAACGTGCACACATAAAAACCTTTTGAAGCTAAAACAAATTTAAAAACGATGAAACTAAAGTCATTTTTGCCTGCAAGCTCCATGTCGTAGCAGAGGTGGGAGAGGTCAAAAGTAGCTACAATCACTACCGGATACAGGAGCTTTGCCGAGTGCTACACTCGGCAAACGACACTCGGCGTAGGTTTTAACGGCAAAGAGCTTTTTGCTGAGTGTCAATCGTTGAGCACTCGGCAAAGACTATGCCGAGTCCAAAAAAAAAACACTCGGCAAACATTTTTCGGGAAAAAAAACAAGTCCCGCCGCCACCACCACGCACCGCCGCCACCGCCCACCACCACCACCGCCACCAAAGCCGCCGCCGCCACCACCACACCACGCCGCCCGCCGCCAGATCCGGCCGCCACCGGCCAGATCTGGGAGAGGGAGGGGCGCTGGGGCAAAGCAGAGCACACAGCACGCCATGGCCGGCGCTCGCGTGGTCGCAGCATGGTTGGGCGGCACCTGCTGCTCGCTCGTCCCGATGGCGGACCTATCCAGGAGAACAACGCATCACAGCCCTAGATTGAGTCGTGGAAGTGGAGGCGGATCGAGGCGAAGGGGGCCATCGGGACCTCGCCAACGGAGGAGCCGCGCCGGCCGCTTAGGGAGGGAGGGGCCGCGTCGGCCGTGTAGGGAGTGGCCGCGCCGCTGGGGCCGGTGTCGCTCGACGGCCGCCACTGTCAGTGAGGATGGAGGTGGCACGACTAGAGGAGGCCAAATCCGCCGGGGCCGGTGCCGCTCGACCGCCGCCGGAGTCGGTGAGGATGGAGGTGACGCGACTGGAAGAGGCCGAATCCGCCGGGGCTGGTGCTGCTTGCCACCGGGGCTCCGTCAAGGCGGCCGTGCTCGCCCGAGGCGATGCTCTGGATAGGAGGCAGAGCACGCCCGCGGCGGTGGTTCCTCGTGACTAGTGAGATCCGGGAGAGGGAAGGGCGCTGGGGAAGAGTAGGGCGGGGTGCTTGGGAGGGGCGTTGGGGCTGGTTTATTAAGTAGGATGTTGTCCTTTGCCGAGTGTCCTAGATCTGGACATTCGGCAAAGTTTTTTTTCATTTTTTTTCTCAGAAAAAAGATTTTATTTCTTTGCCGAGTGTCCTAGATCTGGGCACTTGGCAAAGTTTTTTTTTCTCCTTTTTCCCAGAAAAAAAGATTTTATTTCTTTGCTGAGTGTCTTAGATCTGGGCACTCGCAAAGTTTTTTTTTTCATTTTTTTCTCCTTCTTTACCAGAAAAAAGATTTTATTTCTTTGCCGAGTGTCATAGATCTGGGCACTCGGCAAAGTTTTTTTTCATTTTTTTCTCCTTCTTTCCCAGAAAAAAGATTTTATTTCTTTGCCGAGTGCAAAAAAGAAAACACCTGGCAAACCACCCTCTTGGCCGAGTGTTTTTTTTGACACTCGGCAAACCCTTTTTTTGCCGAAGTGTTTTAGCGCAAAGACTCGACAAATAACTTGTTCGCCGAGTATCCGAGGGAATACACTCGGCAAACATAAAAACACGGCAAATTTGACGTTTCCGGTAGTGAATCTTCTCGCCTCCCACCTTTAAGGCTCTCTGTTTGGTAGGGCTTAGGTTTCTCCAAAAGCGGTGGACGCTTAAAAAACTACTTTTTATTAAAGGGAGTAATTTGAACCAAATGTTAGTTTAGTAGATCATATGGACATAGGCCAAACTTTGGGAGGAGTAATTGGGACTTGCTCCAAACTAAAACATCAAAGTTTTTTAGGATAGAGGGAGTGCTGGTTTGCAGGACCATAGTCTAGGATTATTATACTTGCGTACGCTGGTGGGCTATCAGCCACATGCTCAAGAGCTAAAACTCAACGGCCTTGGGCCAGAAAAATGGGCTGGAGGAGCTGCTGTAGTGTTGAGATGTGGGCCGATTGATAGGAATCCCTCGTTGGGTTAAATGTCGTTTTGCGCTGGGCTTGATGACTGTTTATGCAAAAAAAAAAAAAAAGTAAGCTTAGTGCTCTGGAAACATTTTTCAAACCCAATTCTGGTTAAGCAATGAATTATGGTTAATTACTCATAGCAGTTCATTGATTTGTCAAGTTGTCTATTTCTCGCTGAAAGATTTGGTACATAGTAAAGCATTTTAGTGTACAAAAAGCAGAATTCTTTTTGGCTATTTGTGCGGATGTAAGAAAATGGCAACATGAATGCATGTAAATTCTTCGCAGCTGATGACCAACTATTGCACCAACTTAAATAAATTTGATGTACACCAAGGTTTGGACTTTGGAGGCAGAGTAAATGGATAGTTTAAACTAGACAACTAGGACAATATCAGGGAGATTTAATCCTTTTTTTGGAACGGTCGGCAAAAGCTAGACAACTAGGACAACTAGGCAATGCATTCACATGTCCTATGATTTAATCTTTTTTTTAGCGGTCAGCAAAAGCTTTGCCGAAAATATATTAGTAGACGAAAAATAAACAAGTTACACACTTATTTACAGCTACTATGCTAATAGCAGAAAACAGGAAATAAAAATAAAACACTATGCAATACCCTATGATTTAATCTGAATCATACATATTCACAGAAGGAATTGTAGCAGGCAAGCAATGAATGAAGCATGCTGCATGACAGCAGACCTGCATGCCAGATGAACAAACACCTCAGGCACCGTGTCCATGCCTGCTGCTGTTACCATCCTGAAGAGACTGTGTTGTTTACCATGGTCACCATTTTCTGTTGCAGCTCCCTGTCAAACTTTTCACAGCTTTAGGATCCGTATCTATAGTCCAGTTTAGTATGTCAGGCGTATTTCAGTTAATGTTACCTTACTGCTTCCACACTGCTATGTGTCTCAAACCTCGTTGTATTTCCAGTTTCCATTGTTCGATAAAGGAAATGTGGAACAGCCTCAATTAATATAACAAAAAAGTTGACAAATATAATAATTTTATTTCTGAAAGACTGAAACTTAGCACAATCTCAGACTGTACCAATGAGCAAGAAAACAATATACAGCTAAATACCATCTTACATGGTACATGCATACAAATGACAGAAATCATGCCAATTGTTTACGTCTACCAGCATTGGAGAGAAAGACCACCATCTCTGTAAGATTTTGTACATTGTGACCACAACAAAGAGGAAAAGGACAGAGCTCTGCGACACCTGATGCAAATCTACCAGTTACCGTCTTCTCTTTGCAGCTCTCCGGGTCCTGGACCTACTATTGAGTTGGGGCACACTTGCCCTTTCAGTCCTCGACCTTCTCAAACTAAAATATGCAGCAGCGTGTCCAGAGAGCAAGGTCATTCTATAATCTGCCAGCTCTGACTGAAAGACAAAGCTACCGATAGCCTTTGATCTAACCGTCTCAGCCATTTGCTGTATGCTGCCATCTCTCCGCTCTTCTCTGCCTCCTATTAGTTCCATTGCATACATGTCCTGCTGGTGTTCTGGGAAGATATGAGGCAAGTAGCAGGCCGTCAATTTCAGGGGTGGTGGCCAATTTCTTGCAGCATCTCTGCACTCATCATTAGCTGAGCTGTGCAAGCTGTACTCCTGTGCTGAAACATAGCACTCAAAAATGACTACAATGAGTCCCTCTGGAAACTTGTGTGATGCCTGTAACGATACCATTTTGTCAGTGTAAGTTGGGTGCCCATTAGCTCTGCAACACACTGGATCTCGGCGGCATGACTGAGTAAGTCGGGCATAGACTTCCGGGGTGTCAGACGAATAAGAGGACATAGCTGAGATGTCTTGGAGATTAGGCAGGAAAGTGAGTTCCTCTATGGCACATTCAGTGACGAGATT